TCCAGTCACCTCTGACTCATGGCGACCTCATGTGTATCAGAGTAGAACGGTGCTCCACAGGGTTTTCAATGGATGATTTTTCAGAAGTAGATCTCCAGGCCTTTCTTCCAAGGCATCTCTGGGTGGATTTGAACCTCTAATATTTTGGCTAGCAGCCAAGCACGTTAATTATTTGCACCACCCAGGGGCTCCTATCCTGTTATAAAAAACTATTCTTTATTTTCACCATCATATATTTTCATACCTATTATTTCCATGAAATCCTTGCTTTATGGATTACTGTTTTTGTTTCACATTACTAGCATGTTTCCTTGTATCTTTTAGTATATTTCTTATGCTTATTTTAAGTACTTAGCTTCATTTGACATTACAAAAATAATCGCTACCATTTGACTTCACCCCACCAAACAACTCTTCAGGAAAGGGCTTTATATTCAAACTTCTAGGAAGAATGTGCCTGTTTCATAATATGGCTTCAAGTTATTTGACCCTCCTCCCTTCAAGAGATGAGGTCTATGGCCCCTTCCCCTCAAATACTGGTGGATTTGTAACTGTTTCAGCCAATAGAGTTTGGCGGAAGAGACAGGATGCAACTTCCGCATCTAGATCATAAATGGCGATTCAACTTCTGCCTTGTGTGCTGAGGCACTGTGCAAGAAGTCCAACTATTCTGAGGCGGCCATGTTGTGAGGAAGCCCAAGCTACACAGAGAAGTCATGTGTAGGCAGTTTGGTCTACTGAACCCCAGCTAAGCCCAGCTGTTGAGTCATCCCAATGAAAACGCCAGACATGTGAGTGAAAAAGCTTCCAGACATTTTAGTACCCCAGCATTTGAGTCACTTTCATCCACTCAAGTCTTCCCAGCTGAGGCTGCAAATATTGTGGAGCAGAGAAAAGACATATCCATCGTGCCCTGTTTAAATTCCTGACCCACAGAATCTGTGAGAATAATAAAATTACAGTAATTTTAGGCCAGTAAATTTAGGGTAAGAGCACTGGTGGCGCAGTCATTAAGCCCTCGGCTGTAATAGAAAAGTTGGCAGTTCCAACCCACCTAGTAGCTTTGCAGGAGAAAAGACTTGGTGATCTGCTTCAGTAAAGATTTATAGCCTAGAAAACCCTATGGGGTGGTTCTACTCTGTCCTATAGGGTCACTATGAGTCATAATTGACTCGACAACACACAACAAGAAGTTTAGAGTGATTTTCTATAAATTAATAGATAACCAGAAGCAGCATTGGGAGGAAGCAATTGTCTTAATTTGAAGGGACGAAGCAGTGAAAGCCTCAGCTAGTCAGTCCCTGCCTGTGTCCCCAAGTCTTCATCCCAGCAGGACTTCTTTGCTGCTCTGATTTTATCACCGTGGCATTTGCTCTGTTGTTGTTGCTGGGTGCTATCGAGTGGATTCCGACTCATAGCAACCCTATAGGACAGAGTAGAGCTTCCCTCATAGGATTTCCAAGGCTGTAATCCTTGCAGGAGCAGATCATCAGTTCTTTCTCTTGTGGAGCCACTGGGTGGGTTCGAACCACCGACCTTTCGATTAGCAGCTGAGTACTTAACCATTGCACTGCCAGGACTCCTTCGTTATTCTTTAAAGATAATGAATGAGTCTCTCATAAGCATTCATTCAACCCATAACTATTCAACCAAGACCTCATTCTGAGTTTTCTCTCTTGGTTTTAACCAAGGGTATTTTACTGGTTGGCAGTATTAAAAAAGAAATAATTTTTTAATTGTATTAGGTTTTCTTTTTCCTCTATTGTTTTTTTAAACTTTTCTTTAAATTGAGGTGGTGGTTGTGTGCCATCAAGTCGAATCTGACTCACAGCGACCCCATGTGACAGAGTACAACTGCCCCGTAGGGTTTCCTGGGCTGAAATCTTTATGGGAACAGGTCGCCAGTCTTTCTCCCACAGAGCCACTAGGTGGGTTTCAACCACTGACCTTTCAAATCAGCTGCCAAGCGCTTAACCATTGCACCACCAGGGCTCCTTGCATAGGCACTGGGTCTAGGTTATTAGTGCCATTTTTTGCAGCTAGGTGGCAGCCAATTATTGTCTCCATCCAAAAGGAGGTCAAAGTGGAGAAGCAAGCGTTTCCTCTTGAGCCTCACCAACTGCTCTTGCCCTATGTTGTTTTTGTTGTTGTGTGCTGTCCAGTCCATTCCAACTCATAGCAACCCTATAAGACAGAGTAAACGGCCCCATAGGGTTTCCTAGGCTGAAATCTTTACAGGAGCAGATTGCCAGGTCTTTTCTCACACGGAGTGGCTGCTGGATTCGAACTGCCAACCTATCGGTTAGAAGTCAAGCACTTAACCATTGTGCCACCAGGGTTCCTTCTTCTCCTATGGCCAGTACCTAATACAACATCAATTTTAAAAATTGCATTCATTAGGTCCTTAGAGAAACCCGCTCTCACCTCACGTCTCTTCACATTAATACTCTCATTTTCAGGGTCAAGTCTTTTGCCCAGTCCGTTGAGGCTCCCAAAAGCAGAGCAGGGGCCAGGATTTGGGGATCATGTTGTCGTTAGCCGCTGTCAAGTCGGCCTCTGATTCATGATAACCCCATGCACAATGGAACAATATGCTGCCCATTCCTGCACCAACCCCATGATTGGTTGTGGATGGGACTGTTGTGATCCATAGGGTTTTCATTGGCTGACTTTCCGAAGTAGATTGCCAGGCCTTTCTTCCTAGTCTGACTTAGTCTGGAAGCTGCACTGAAATCTTTTCAGCATCACAGCAACACACAAGCCTCCACTAACAGACAAGTGGTGGCTACTCATGAGGTGCATTGGTTGGGAATCGAACCCAGGTCTCCCCAGTGTAAGGCAAGAATTCTACCACTGAACCATCACTGCCCCCTCCAGTTTGGAAAGAGGGTACAAAATGAAGAACTCACACTGGACAAAGGGTCATTCCCCTGAGACTAGAGCTCCCTCCCAAGTCAGACAGCTCTTGAGGCTTCCCCTAGCTTGCTGGGCACAATATCAACTAGACAAAAAATAATTGTTGATGTTCTCTTTTCCTAGCACTTATCCCAGTTTATAATTACACATTCATTAGTGTGATTATTTGATTAATATCTGTTTCCATCACCAAACTGTCAGCTCCTCAGGGGTCCCTTTTTACTCTCCACTCTATGGGAGGCTCAGAGTGCCACTTGATAAATAATAATAACAGCAAAGACTTATACGGTTATGACCATGTGCCAGACAGTCTTCCAGGAGCTTTATTGTGTATGATTTTGTGATGTTTTCAAACCACATATGTTAAACTACGTAAGTTACTTGTGTTGTTGTTACTTGCCATCAAGTCAATTCCAATTCATGGAACCCCATGTGTGCCAAGTAGTGCTGGGCTCCACAGGATTTTCAAGGCTTTGGCCTTTTGGAAGCAGATTGCCAGGCCTTTCTTCTGAGGTGCCTCTGGGTGTACTTGAACTTCCAGCCTTTTGGTTAGCAGCTGAGGGCTTAACCATTTGCACCACCCAGGTGTTGTGATGTGTGAATGAGATGAGGTTTATAAAATGCTTAGCTCAGTGTCCTGGCACACAGTAAGCATGCATGTAGGCATGTATCAGTCTTCCTAAAGGATGAGGCTGCCTTTTTTTTTTTTTTCTTACCATGAGGGACTTGTAGTCCTAATACAAAGTCCTCATCCACTAGTAATCGTTAGTGTTGTTGTTGTTATTATTACTCCAGCTTAACGTCTATGTTCTAAACAGGGCTTCGAAATGGTTCATTCCAGTTTGAACCCCTGCTCAGAATCTGCATTTCTAACAAGTTCCCAGATGATACTAACGCTGCCGGTTGGGGACTAATTCTGAGAACCACTAGTAGAGCAGTGGTTCTCAAAATTTATTATGCGTAAGAATCACCTGGAGATCTTGTTAAAATGTAGACTCTAATTCAGTGTATCTGGGGTGGAAATGCAAATTCTCGACAGGATTTCAAACCTAATGAACCTGTTCGAAGCCCTGGTTCTAAATTGTTGAATTGTCCACACTTTTGTGTGCAGCTTCCCCTGGGTCTATTTACATGTGATTTCCAGGACTTATAAGTACCATGTGGAGTAGCTTGCATAGCTTCTAGAGGGCAAGTGGGGGTATTTTCCTCTACCCCAAAATCTCCACCCCACAATCACATCACAAACCGGCTCCAAATCAAGGTTTTCCACATTTCCAAACCTTTAATCCCACGTCAGACCACAGGGAGGTCAGACCCAGAAATCTCCACCTTCCCCTACCATCCCAGACCCCACTCCAAGGAGCAATTAGTAGTAAGAACTCTCCCCAAAGTGAACAAATCCAGACCTGGGAAACAAAGAGATCCAACTCTCCTCCAACACCCCCTGGCCTCTTCCCCTGACCCTGGTTACCCCATCAGGTCCCCACTAGCCTTCCCAGGAAACTCTCGTTAGCAAAGAGCCTCTTCCCACCCCATCCCCAAGCAGCCCAAACTCAGCCACTGAGAAAAATGTATTTACTGAGTGGGGAAAGATGAAGGAATGAGAGGCAGGTGTGTGAAAATGACGGGAGCCCCACAGCAGGAAGAATACAGTTTCTCTAGGAGATGGGGCAAAAGATTCTGAGCGTTAGAGTGGAGAAGGAGGAAGGGGTTGGCAGGAGCACAGAGAAAGCAAAATGGCAGCCCTAGGTGTCCCTGTGTCCCCGCTTGGGACAGAGGGCCCCCCAGGGCCAGGGAGGCAGGGTGAGCAGCAGGAAGCAGCCGCCCCCCAACATCAGGACCAGGCCGGCCGCCACTCCGCAGTTCAGAGACCAGGAGTATTCATAGGCCAAGGCCGGGGCCGGCGGAGGCTCATGGCTGACTCTCTCGAGCAGGGCTCGCACGGAATGCCGGAACACCTCCAAGCTCACCAGAAGTAGCAGGCCTGTGAGGAAGAGGACACAGCATGTTGCTCAAGTCCCTGGGAACCCCAGCTTAGGTCTCAGCCTCTCCCCCAATACACCCTATCACACACTCAAACAAGAAACCTGGGAGACGTCCCTGACACCCTTCTACTTATTCATTCACCAAATACTTACTGAACACCTACTATAAAGAGTCCCTGGGTGGTGCAAATGGTTAAGCGCTAGGCTACTAACCCAAAGTTGTGGTTCAAAACCACCCAGAGGTGCTGCAGAAGAAAGGCCTGGCGATCTGCTTCCAAAAGGTCACAGCCATGAAAAGCCTATGGAGCCCAGTTCTACTCTGTAACACATGGGGGCACCATGAGTTGGAATCTATTAGAAGGCAACAGGTTTTTTTTGGGGGGGGTGTGCAAACAGGTAACACACTTGCTGCTAACTAAAAGGTTGGCAGTTTCAGTCCACCCAGAGACCCCTCAGAAGAAAAGCCTAGCGATCTACTTCTGAAAAATCAGTCATTGAAAACTGTATGGAGTGCAGTTCTACTCTGACACATATGGGGTCAACATGAGTCAAAATCGGCTCAATGGCAACTGGTAGGTAGGTGTATGGCAGGAACTATTTTGGAAGCTGGAGATAAAGAAGGAGCAAAACAAAGACCGTACTCTCATGGAACTTATATTTTACTTGAAGGAGACAGATGGTAAATAAATAAACCAGCGATTGTGTTATGGATTTAATTTTTCCCCAAAAAAGATACGTTGAAGTCCTAACCCCTGTATCTGTGAATGTGAACTTGTTTGGAAACAGTGCTTTTCTTTGAAGATATTATCAGTCCCTAAGTGTGTTGGGGGTACAAGCGGTTAACGTGCTTGGCCACTAACGGAAAGGCTGGATATTGAGTCCACCTAGAGGTGCCTCAGAAAAAAAGCCTGGTAATCTACTTCCAAAAAATTAGCCATTGAAAACCCTGGGGAGCACAGTTCTGCTCTGACTCACATGAGGTCACCATGATTCAGAATGAACTTGAGGGCAACTTTTTTTTTTTAATCAGTTAAGTTAATGAGGTCATACCAGAGCAAGGTGGGTCCTAATCGCTTCTTAGATGTGTTTTACATAATGGCAGAACAGACATGGAGACAGAGACACGATAGGGAGAAGACGCCACGTGAAGATATATCTACAAGCAGCAAAGGAAAGCCAAGGATTGCCGGCAGCCACTAGAAACTAGGAGAGAGGCATGGAACAGTTCCCCTCTCAGAGCCCTCAGAAGGAATCAACGCCGCCAATACTCTGATTTGGGCTTCTAGCTGCCAGAATCATGAGAGAATAAATTTCTATCCTTTAAAAGTCACTTCACATTGTGGTGTTTTGTTATGGTAGCATTAGGAAACTAAGACAGGTTGCAAACTCAAATGCCTACAGGGGACTACGTTGTTGTAGATAGGTGCTGTTGAATTGTTTCTGGCTCAGAACACCCCCATGTGACAAAGTAGAACTGCCCCCATAGGATTTCCTAGGCTGTAATCTTTACAGAAGCAGATTGCCAGGCCTTTCTCCCATGGAGCCACTGGGTGGCTTCAAACCGCCAACCTTTCAGTTAGCAGCCGAGTGCTTAACCACTGTGTCACCAGGGCTCCTTATCACAATTATAGCTGAATTATTATATGTGTAATTATTGGTGACTGTCTATCTCTGCCAGAATCTAGGCTCTAAGAGGGTAGACATGATGTCTGTCTTATTTACTCTTGTATCTCAGGTCCTTAGTATAGTGCCTGGGACATAGTAGGTGCTCAATAAATAAACGAAGAATAATAAATGAAACTAATTAATGCCTTTTCTATCCAACTTAGAAAACATTTGATCCAATAAGGAAACCAAAGGCCAGAGAAAAAAAGGGGTCTTCCCAAGGTCATATAATAGTTCAGGGCACAGCCTGGGCTAAAACTCAGACCATTTAACTTCTAGTTAAGCATTCATCTCACCACACCATGCTCTGAGCCTGTAAAGACCCCACAAAAATATAGTTCCCAGAATGCAATGATGAGATGCCGTGAAAAGGAGAAATGCTCTGGAATCAGAAAGACCTTGTTTCAAGTTCCATCCCTGCCATCACTGACTTTGTGACCACAAGTAAGTCATCTGACTTTCCAGCTTTCTTATCTATAAAGTTGAGGATAGTAATCTCTATCTAGCAGGGCTGTTGTGAGAATTAGAGCTAGATGTACAATAAGTTAGTTATTATTATTATTTATTATTATTATTGGGGACTACATTTCACAAGATGCAGCATTTTCTTTGGACCCCCAACTCCCAGAACGTAACAGTCCTTGGAGGTCCCAGGTCCAAATCTAAAAGAGTGTTTGGAGACCTTCCAATTCCCAGCCAACAGTGGTTGGGACTCTGTCATCTTTGAACTTCTATAGCCCATGACTTCCACTTACTCCCATCATGCACCAATGCATGGAGACACCCATCTCCCAGCACACAACAGTCCTTGGGATCCCTGGGTCCAAATCGAAAACAGTGCTTAGAGAGGCTCCAATTACTAGCCAATAACAAGGCTCAGAACTCTTCCCATCTTTGAACTTCTGTAGTCCATGAGCTTCCTCTAACTCCCATCATTCGACAGTGCATGAAGACACCCACCTCCCTTCATGCAACAGTGCTTGGAGACCTCCACCTCCCATCAGGTAACAGTGCTTGGAGACCTCACCTCCCATCATGCAACAGTGCTTGGGGACCTCAACTCCCAGCATGCAACAGTGCTTGGGGACCATGAGTCCAAATCTAGAACAATGTTTAGAGAGGCTCCAATTCCTAGCCAACAACAGGGCTCAGAACTTTCCCATCTTCGAACTTCTACAGCCCATGAGTTTCCTCTAACTCCCATCTACCATCATGCAACAGTGCTTGGAGACCTCATCTTCCATCAAGAAACAGTGCTTGGAGACCCCACACCTCCCAGCATGCAACAGTCCTTGGGGACTTGGGGTCCAAATCTAAAACAGTATTTTGGAAGCCCTCCAATTCTGAGCCAATTACAGGACCTAGAACTCTCCCATCTTTGAGTCTACTTTAGCCTTTGGGCTTCTCCCAACTCCCAACATGCAATGGTACTTAGAGATCCTACCTCCCAGCATGCAACAGTATTTGTAGGTCTCACTTCCCAGCTTGCCTCCCAGCATGCAATGTCCTTAGCCTCCAGGCTCTCAGCCCTCACCTGAGAGGCCAAAGCAGATGGCTCCAACTCGGAGCAGGAACTCTGCACCTTTGCTGAGCACCATGATGACACAGAGGTACCCCAGGGCCATGACTGCCAGGCCCATCACTGCTATCACTGCAGCCGCCAGATTAACTTCTGTGTTGAACAGAGGGAAAGAAACAGAAAACAAGGAATGTAGGGAATGGGGAGGACTACCCTATAGGGACCCAAAACCAGGAAGATGGATGAATCAACACCAGGAAAAAGAATTTTTAAGTCAAACATCATCCAGTCCAATATTTTATTTATACTATTGAAGGAACTAAGATTCAGAGAGGGTCAGTTACTTGCCTAAGGTCACAGAGCAAAGCAGGGACAGAGGAAAGATTAGAAGGGGATGGGGCCATTGAGGCAGGGTGAACCCCCAAAACTATTGCCTTGAGATAATCTTTAAACCTTAATCCTTAAACCAAAAATATTCCCTGAAGTCTTCTTTAAACAACTATCTACATGGGATCAAATTGACAACAGCAACTCGAAAGGTTAGATAGGAAGCGTAGGGGGCAGTGAATTTAGATGAGTGAGAATGGTTGCACAACTTGACAGATGCAATCAATGCCACTGAATTGCACATGCAGAAATTGAGTTGGTGTATGCTCTGCTATGTTTAGTTTCAACAACAACAAAATAAATTATTTTAAAAAAGAAGGGGATGGGAATTACCACTTACTACTTATGATCTGGTCAATGGTTGTTTACAGGTGAGGAAGCTGAGGCAGTAGGGTGTGTGAGACAATGGTGGAAGGTGGTGTGTAGAATGATCAAAGTCAGAATTCTCTCCAGCCACTTCCTAGGTGGAAGATTCTGGTAAAGATCGTTAAGCTCTCTGAGCTTCACCTTTCCCCTCTGGAAAATCAGGATAGAAATCCCTATCTGACTGGGCTGTTGGACGATTAGAAATCATGTATGTAAGGTGCCCAGTGCAGTGCTTGACAACAGTAGGTGCTCATTAAGTGCGTGCTATGATTATTTCATTATCCAAGAGGAGGGCAATGACTTTCCCAAGTGTGCACAGCACAACGACAAGAGAGAAAGCACTCTCATTGTTCACATTTGTTGCATTTTAACTTTTTGATTAAGATTGGATTCAGCTAGGAGCTATCCATGACTCTCAGTCAAGGTCATACCAAGTAAGAGAGATGGTATATTGGGAGCGGGAGAGAGGGTCTTTCAGAATACTCCTCCTTCACAAGTAGCTACACTGGCATGTACACTGTAGAAATGAGCATACTGGGGAGTTGAATAGAGGGTTTCATGTTATTCCTTGACCTGGGTGTGACTTCCGGATCTCTTTGGGTCTATGAAATGGAGCTTAGACATCAGTCAAAATGGAGTGCTCTTCTCCTGGAACTGGATTTGGTGTAACTTCAGAAGTGGGACTCAAATGAGTCTGGTGAAAGAAAGACTCCATTTATTGAAGACCTCCTCTGTATGGTTGAGCTGCATCATCTCATTAAACCCTTACAAAGATGAGATAATATCAATAACATGGCCGCTGTTCCTTTGGGGGTGGAGAAATTAAGGTGTGGTTGAGGCTGTGGTTAGAGCAGAAAGGAAAAGCCTTCAGAACTATGTTGTCCAGCACAGTAGCCACTAGCCATGTGTGGCCTTTCATATTTAAATTGATTCAAATTAGGAGTCCCTAGGTGGCACAAACGGTTAAGCACTCTACTAGCAGAAAAGTTGGCAGTATGAGCCTACCCAGGGGCACCTCAAAAGAAAGCCCTGGAGATCTGCTTCCAAAAGGTCACAGCTGTGAAAACTCTATGGAGCAGTTCTACTCTGACACGTGCAATAGCTGTGAGTCCCACTCGACAGCAACTAACAAAACAACAAGCCCCATGTGCCCTTTGAAATGTATATTGACTTCAATTAAACAAAATTAAAAACTCAGTCCTTCAGTAGCACCAGCCACATTTCAGGTGCTCAGTTGCCACAAGCTGGCAGTGGCTACCATCTTAGACAGAGCAGACATAGAACATTTCCATCTTCCCAGAGAGTTCTGTTGGACAGAGCTGCTTTAGAGTCAGAATTATTCCGGTTCAGCCTCTCTGCCTGTGCCACTTTCTGAGAAAAATAATTTAACTATTTCTGGACTTCTCTTTTCTCAAGCCTTTGCCCTTTAGGGTCGTGGAAAGGTGGGGATCTTATGAATGAGACAGCCAGCACTGTGCTTAGCAGGTGGATGGTGCATATTTGTGGGATGTTTCAGCACTATCCACAGAGAGAGGCTGTGACTTGACCAAAGTTACACAGTGAGTGTCAAAGGGGTAGGAGGGTCAGGCACAGAGCTCTGGAAAACCATGCCCCCACCTTTACTCTATTGTCATCACCCCCAAAGATGGGACCTCCCCAGCAGATAGGAGCTGAGCCCATCCTGGAGCAAAGCAGAGCAGTAGACGTGCCATCAAAAACTCCTCTGCATCATCAGCATATCACCACCACACCACACAATTCTCACCTTTTTTTGTGGTTCTCTGGAAGATGTGTGCATTCTGGCCCGTGGTAAAGAATTTAAAGTAGGTGCAGTTTGCTTCTGTGGGAGCAGGAGAGAAAAAAGGGATGTGATAAACTTGTGCAAGTTCACCGGGTCTCCTGGTAGCACAAACAGTGTGTGCTTGACTATCAACCAAAGGTTGATGGTTTGAACCCACCCAGAGGCACCTTGGAAGAAAGGCCTGGAGATCTGCTTCCATAAAGATCATGGAGCAATTCTACTCTGTAACACATAGGGTTGCCATGAGCCTGAATCAACTCTACAGCAATGAGTTTTGTTTCTTGGTTTGTTCAAGCTCGAAGGTTGAACATAGCCCACAGCAGTCTAAAACTATGGCATTAGTATCCCTGGTATACCCAGGAGAAAAATGATGCTCAGAGATATAAAAGCCACCTGCTATCCAAGAGCTGTGGTCCCTGGGTAGTGCAAATGGTTAAGCACTTGACTACTAGCCAAAAGGTTGGCAGTTCAAACTGACCAGAGGAGCCTTGGAAAATAAGCCTGGTGATCTGCTTCCAAAAGTTCATAGCCTTGAAAACCTTATGGAGCAGAGTTCTACTCTGGCATACATAGAGTCACCATGAGTTGGGATTGACTCAATGGCAACTAACAACAATAATGACATCCAGGAGCTGGGATTCCAACCCAGAGCTTTGAGGTCCACATCTGTGGCCAGGAGAGGGCCATTGACCCTCTCTATAAAATGAGATAATAATCTCTTTCCTAACTTCTTCACACAAGTTCGTTGACGGTCAAGTGGGATTAGAAACGTACACTCCTATCCAAGTCACAACAATTGGTATCTATTCACTTGGAGCAACAAAGAAAGAAGGAGAGTCAGGAGTAGGAGGAGGAAATGGAATGTGTGGCTAATTGCCTTCATGAACAACTGCCTCCTTTGCCACGAGACCAGAAGAACTGGATGGTGCCCAGCTACCATTACTGAACGTTTTGATCAAAGATTCTATAGAAGACTCCTGATTAAAAGGGGGAAAATGCAGACCAGAATTTCAAATTCTTATGGACTCCATATTTCCAGGGGCCATGGAGGCTGGATGACCCTCTGAAACTATTGCCCTGAGATAATCTTTAGACCCTAAAACCCTAAACCAGACATTCAAGCAGCCAACAGACACATGAGGAAATGCTCACGATCACTAGCCATTAGAGAAATGCAAATTAAAACCACAATGAGATACCATCTCACCCCGGCATTACTGGCACGAATCAAAAACACTGGAAATAACAAAT